GAATTAAGCGATGTATTCCAAATGATGAATATACTTAATGAATAGAATAATACAATTATTTAATATAAAATATAACATGGTAAATAGTAAAGACTACTATTGAGTTGAAGATGCCAAAGATAAATCACAAATATTATGTCATAAGAGACGAATACTGAATCTCATAGGCGAATGGCTAAATACTAGATATAATGGGTGAATTATCAGATACTAGATGTCAAGTACATAACATATTAGCAAATTATTCGGTATGCTAAGATTGTTATGCTCTCATAGATGAGTTAATCCATGACGAAGTTGTCCTTTAATGAATCAGCTTGTTCAACCGATTAAGTGCGCTTATTGACTTTATAACATACTTGGTCCCCTTGTTGCCCGCCTACTCAAGAAAGTCTTAGTAGATTTTAATAGGGAGCAACATTGCAAGGTTTTGACCATCAAGAGGGGTCACAATTTATATTTGCTAAAAAGTGGATTTAATTGCAATTTATTAAGTATCTTATTGCAAATGAGTAAATCTGACTTTAAGATTGTGTTGAGTGTGGAGTCTGATTAGAAGTGGTAGGAAGCAGCCAGCAATAGTAGGAGCCCCCAGATGCTAGGGTGGCGCCCGACACCCTCGCGCTTGGTTCGAGAGCAAGCGGCACCCCTGCCAATTTTTTGCAGGCGCACCACATGTTGTTATCTCTATTGTTTGAATTAAATTCCATGATCAGAGCGACGATGTCTCTGATGCACATGGTAAAGTCTCGAAAGGCTTTTCTACAAGAGCAGTGAAACTCAAGAAGCGGATTTCAGAGGCTGCAATTTCTCTTGTGGATTCAAGAAAGGATTGGGACCAAAGTTTTGTAAGTTCCAATAAATACAAAGAGAAGATCTTAGTGTTTTAATTTTTTTTTTTTACTTCTCTTCCATTCATAATGAAATTTTTTGGTGTTGTGGCTTCGTGGTTTTTCACATTTTCAGGTTTTTTCACGTAAATCCTTATGTACTTTTTCTGTGATTTTTTTTTGTGTGCTTATGTTCTTGTTTTTTTCTTGATTTCTCGAATTGTTGTGATCATATTCCGTGTTGTAGTTTTGATTTCTAATTGATCGAAGCACTAAGTTGAATATTCCATCCCAGCTAATTGGGAACCATCCAGATAGAGGGAATGAGAGTGGCAGTTTTTTTTGCTTGTTTTGATGTAGAGTTCTCTAAGTGAGATCGTATGAAGTCGCCTGAGACACTTTTGAGAAAGTTGGTAACTCTTTTTTATAAGATAATTTTATATTTATTTATTTTATGATTGATGCCCAATGTGACTATTAATTTATTTGTAAAAAGAGAGGTCTAAAGGCTACAAGATTTCTCTTTCACTCTCGAAGAACTTGCCTCCGAGGGGCGAGTGCAACGAGTTGTAAATGGGACGAGTTCCCCAATTACCGCAACTGGATTATTTCCATGGGATGAGCAGTGCTCACATCACATATTTTTATATTTTAGTTTTCATGTGTTCTCTTTTTTTCGAAAACTTATTGCATGGAATTGATCAAAAATATAAATACAAAATTTTCAAATCTATGATTGTCTATTTTATGTAAATTTCAGACTGGCTGAGCAAGCAGGCTAGATCTGAAGTATCAAATAATCTCTTCTAACTAGATCTATATTGAGTTTTTTGATAAATATGCAGAAATTGCTTATATAGTACGTGTCTTTAAGTTGGCCAAAAAATTCGTCTTAATCTGATCTTCTTTGGAAAGATCTTCTCTGTATAAAATTTTGATGTCCCTCTATAGATCTTTGTGTATAATTTCATATTTGAGGCATGTATCTACGCATGTCGTATTTAAGAAAATGATAAAATTAAATTTGTTCATGTGTTATGCCAAATTTTTATTAGCATCAAAGAAAAGAGAAATGAAAATTTTTTTAAAGGCATACGGGATAAAATCCACTTAGTATCTCAAACTAGAAAATAAAATATAGACATAACCCTCCAAACAAGGAAGAAAGAATAAAATGCTTCGAGCCATAAGAGAAAAAAAAGAGATATAAAAGAGTAAAAGGCTCAAGTTATCGGAGAAAAAGAGAGATATAGAAAAACGGGTTTCTTCATAGAAAAGAGAAGTCCCCATAGAGATGTCTTCAAGGCGAAAAAAGAGTTTTCTAGGCTCTCCCCAATATTCAATAATAAGACAATGAATATCAAGCATTATAGCAAAGGCTACATAATAAAAAATATATAGATAATAAAATACATTATAGAAGGTGAATAATTGTGGAAAGTAGTTGACTGTGTCGGTAGTTGTATATTAAAAAAGGTCTGTACGGATCTCAAGACAATCCGATGGCACCAGAATGCCCTTTGCTCCTCTTTAAAGCAAGATTAAATATGTAATTTTTATATTTTTTTCCCTTAAAGCAAGATTAAATATTGTAATTTTTATATTTTTTTCCCTTTCCATCTTCTATAACTAGAAATTTTTTAAGATATATATATCTTTCATGAAATAAAATAGGTCCACGAGCCTAAGAACACCCAATTTTCTCCCGTCAGGGGAATTCTTCCTCTTTCTCTTTCTCTCTCTCTCCCTCTATCAATTTTCTTTCATCGATCCAACGCTCTATTCCTTGGGCACGATCTACCGAACAAATTTGGATTCAACATACTAAAAGATACATTAAATGTGGATCGTACCACCAACAAGAATACGAGCAACATCGAACACTGAGGAGAAACTTATTAGGCAATTACTCCTATCAAAGAACAACAAATATACTTCATTTTTCATCGTTGATGGTAATCTCCAAGAGACTGTGCATCTGTAAAAATTTAGGTGGATGCTCTCAAATTTTCGAATTTTGTCGCATACCAGCCGATCGAACTCTATTAGTCTGGATGGTTGCTTATCTCGATAGTAAAGCACTTTTTTGTCGTGTTGGCCTTATCATCAAAGCCATGCTCAGACCTTCGATCGACCACTCAAGCCTACCGTCAACGTCTCCCAACCTACCCACCCACCTGTGCGACTCTCCAACAGTACCTACTGCTCCACACAAATTCCTACTGCCTACGTTGTAATCGTCCATTCAAATCCTGCATCCCTCTAACTTCAATAACACCGTTGAGGTGAAACCCAATTAAACGACCACTCACTTGCTGACCGATTGTTCAAGTCGTCTGACCGCATCTCCGCTAGCAGAACCGCTGACTGGCCGACCAAACACATCATCAGCGACCGACCGGTATTCTCCCGATCGGCTGCCTCACCATGAAGTCCATAGGACCCACTGTCGAGCGCAGATTCCTCCTATGAGGGAAAGTCTTCCGGACCTCTCCTTGTCGTTTCAGCCATCTCAACAGCGAAGCATTACAATTGAATCCGCCGACGGTAGTATGAAGAAAAATAAGCTTCATGGCCACTTTGCCCGGTGTTCCAAACTCCTCACTCAGGTCGCCTCCAACGGCTAGAAGCCAAGCTCTGACCAGGTAATAAAACCGACAAGCTCCACGAGGCATGGAAAAAAATCCAACACCCGACAGCGACATGCTTCCTGAAGGGTGGAAAAAAATATAACAACCAGCAACAACAAGCTCCTTGAGGGGTGGAAAAAAAATTTAAAATTCAGCTGCGACAAGCTCCGCGGGGGGTAAAAAAAATTTTAACACCCGACAACGACAAGCTCTGCGAGGGGTGGAGAAAAAAATCTAACACCCGACATCGACTAGCTACACGAGCAATGGAAAAAAAATCTAACACTCGGGATCGATAAACTTCGCGAGGGGTGGAAGAAAAATCAAACACCCTGCAACAACAAATCACGCGAGGGGTGGACAAAAAATCTAGCACCCCGCAGCAACAAGCTTCGCGAGGGTACATAGCTCTAGGACACCACTCCGAGGCGAATAGCTCCAAAACTACATTCTTAGGCGAACAGCTCCAAGACTCCACTCCGGAACGAACAGCTCCAAGACTCCGCTCTAGGACGAACGGCTCTAGGACTCCCCTCCAGAGCGGGCAATTCTAAAACTCTTCCCCAGGACAAGCAACCAAACAAAGAACTCCGATGACCAATTTCCTCCTCCGATGTTCGACCTTTTTCTTCGACCAAACACTGAAATCCGACGACTTTATCGATGAAAAACTCCACAATAACAAATTCAGCATCTGACAATAAAGATACCAGAACCGAGCACAAAAAACACATAGCAGAGAGTATCATTAGCAAATTATGTGCTCAAGATTTATCTGATTTATAAATTTCATTGTCCTTATTGCAGTTGTCGCTATCAATGAGCAAGAAAATTGGGGAATTTAATATGTATACTAAAAAATAGTTTGTACGGATCTCGAAGCAATCCGACGGTATCAAAATGTCATTTTATCTTCTCTTTAAAACAAGGATGAATATATCATTTTTATATTTTTTTGCACTTTCTATCTTCTATAAATATGAGGTTTTATGATGTATGAGGAACTTTTGGATCTCTCACTTGTAACTTATGTCTTTTATAGAATAAAATGGGTGCACGAGGTAGAGAACACCACATTTTGCCCCTGTGGGAGGAAGTCTTCCTCTTTCTCTCCCTCTCAATCTTTTTTCCTTGATCCAACACTCTATTCCTTGGCACAATCTATCAGACAAATTTGGATTCAACAGTAGTTTATACTCGATACTCATAGTAATTAGCACTCGACACTGTACTCATTATTTTGTGCCCGTCACTCTGTATTCGGTAGTCTACCCCAGGGTGTAAACCTAAAACATATAATCCCGACTTTATCAAACTTACGCTTGCTACGCAATGTAGTAGAAACTGATTAACGCAGATATACATCAAAATAAATGATTGCCAATACAGTGAACTAATCTAGAGCTTCTGAACTAATTAAATAAGTTTGACCCAGTGAATTAGCTAGATGAAGTGCCTAATCCAGTTTGCCTTCAGTGATTCATTGGAAAATAAATTGAAACAGAGGAGAAGAGGAGGAAGAGTAATAAGGGAAGAATACCTATCTCGGACAAAAGCGATGGGAGCGAGGATGAAAAAACCGAGGAGATCTCGGAAGATGCAGAAAACGATCTGGTTCATCCCGACGTTAAGGGCAACCTTGGTGATGACGTGGAACCCTCCATATATGACCTGAACCAGCACCATAGCCAAATACGCCTTCCATGCAAGAGCTCGGCCGCCGGCTACCTGCCGGACCAAATCCATATACGGTGCTCGCCGGCGGTAACCACTGGGTTATGACCAAAAAGCCTTCACCTCTCAAAACACTCTACACAAGGAAACAAGAATTCAGAAAATATCTGCAGTCTGCACATAGATGACACCAGGATAGCGGCACTATTATTAAAAATATAAGCTACTCACATTTGGAATACACGTTATTATAATATACATATATATAAACAAAAAATTAAAATAATACAAAAAAAATAAAAAATTTAGTAGCATATTTTTCAAAAATTATAATATAAATGATGAAAAATATCAGCCTCAAGCTGTTTATAAGAAGAAATTAGATGAAAAAATCGAATATATAGATTCAACCTTTAAATAAAAAATATTTTTCCTTTTGAAATTTTACTTATTAAAAAAACATAAATGTTTAAAAAATATCTATTAAAAAATTTTATTTCATTAAGACACATGTTTCCGACACGCGTGCCACATTTTATTTTAATATTATTTAAATCAGTTTCACATGTTGTGACTCTTTAATTAGAAGTATTCGTGCATTATAGAAAAATAACATGAAAAAATAATTCTTTTGATATACATAATTATAATACAATAAGAAAAGATAAAAAAAATTTATGAAATATCACCTTATGTAAATGGCTAAAATAAATTTTTAAAATTTTTAATAAGTTTGTACTTAATTTTTATATGTTAATATATTTTAAATATATATAACAATTTTTTTAAAATATGTTTGTTTACAAACTAACAAAATAATTAACGGTTGGTTCAAACTTGTGTTCATCTTTTGTGAGCTGATCTTGTAAGTCATGCTTAACTCTTGAGTAGGTTGAGGGTTTATTTGGGGTAATTGCGACTATTTGAAAAAAAATAATTGTGAAACTGCTTTAGAATCAGTTATTGTTTTAAAAGCTATAGTTGTTATTACAATTTAAAAAAAATCAGACCAAAGCTTTTTAGCACGCATCGCAAATATCTATGCGCAGTCGCAAAACACAGTTTTTAGTTGCAGCTTTTTGAAAATGCATGCATAATATAATTTCGACATACGCATTACCGCCCAAAACACACATATAGTGTTACATTTTCTTAAAAATGTTTCTTCACATAAATTATGAATTGAATTAAGGCTAAGTGATGTGTCAGTTACAGTTATACAATTGCAATCTAGTCAGTTATACAATTGCAATCTAGTTTTTTTTTTTTTAAAAAAAAGTTAAATTGTCATCGTAGCTTTTTAAATTGCAGTTTCTTCTGCAGTAGCTTCACAACCACTTCTTCAAATAGATGTAGCTGCCCCAAACAGACCTTGTCACCTAATTTTTTTATGTATTTATATATCTCTAATCTAAATTTTAACATTTGTTTATATAACCTTGAAAACTATATATCACATTAAAAATATTCACGCTAATTTCTTTAAATAAAATATAATTTTTCATATTTTTGTGTCATCAAACAAAATTTGTTCACACTTGAATTTCAATGCATATTGGTGTGGAATCCTAAATTCAAATTCAAGAATATAGTTTTTAGCAAGTTTATAGTCACACCGACTGTCAAACTCATCAAAATTGGTCAAATTTGCCCCTAATCAAGCCCAAATCAAGCTGTTGAAGCACAATTTGAGACTTGGACTATCATTTGAATGATAAAATAAAATTCAAATTTGACATATTTATAGTCAAATAGATCACATTGACGAAATGAATCCAACTAGCCCAAGACTGATAAATTATGAATTCATTAAGACATTCAAATCATTTAAAAAAATATCTATAATCGAGGGGGGTCAACTTGGACTGTCTGATTAGATGTTTAGAAAAGTTGTGCTCTAAAAAACCAAAAGTCTCTTTTTAAAAGGCTATAAATAAACATTCTCTCTTTACTTGAGAGTGGGAGGAAAAAATGGATTTCGAGAGCCTTTTCTGAAGAGAAGACTCGACAATAATCATCGGTCTTTGTAGTCACCAACCACTATCAATTGTCGACCACCGCCCGACCTCAACACCTATTGTAGCTTACCACCAGCTGAAGGTGAACTCTGTTTGCAACCTTTATATTCCAAATACACCTGTTGTGTTTTACACTTGTATTGAAGACATAACGATAACAATCGGCCTCTGAAGTTATTTACCACCATCGACCGTAACTCGTCGGCTATTATTCACCACCGTAAGCTGTCACTGCCACTCACCGCCGACCATCGACTATCGATGACCCAAATTTGCATTCATTGTAGTCTGACTATAGTCTTCTTGACAAACTACTATCTTTGTAGAAACCAACAACAACTTTTGTGGCCAAATACTATCGGTACAACTTCCAATTACGACCTTCATAGCCATTATCATTATTGCAGTCACCGATTATAGAATACATGGAGAAATATTGCCTTTGTAGCAACCAACAACGATCTTTTTGACCAACTACTACTAATACAACTTCCAACTACAACATCTATGACCAAATGTCACTATTACAATCACGACTACAATCATTATAGCCAACTTTTATCATTCTAATAGCAAACTACAATCTTTTGTGACCAACTGTCATTATTGCAGCCTTTGACTATAGCTTTTATACCTATCTACTGCCTTATGCGACCAACAACTGCTATTGTTGCCATTGACTGGCGCATTTATGACATACTACTACATTTGTAACAACCTACTACAACATTTATGATTAACTACTACTATTACATTTTATAATTACTACCTCTGTGGCAAACTACCGCAGTTGCATTTACTGATTATAGTTATAATGAAAAATAACTCCTAGGGGTGTAAACGAACTGAAACACGAACGAACAGAACACGAACGAACAAAACTTGTGTTCGTGTTCGGTTTGTTTGAAATTTAGTTTGTTTGAAATAAGCTTGTGTTTGAAATTATTCGTGAAGTCACTCTTCGTGTTCATTTCTTAATGAATGAGCCGTTAATTATATAACTCATGTTATATAAATATATAGTATCTATATTAGTGTATTACTAATATAGTATATTAATATATTATTGTTATTAATTTATTATATATTATAATTTATAAAATTTAATTTTTTAAAATATTATAAATTTTTTATATATAATTATTTTAAATTATTTTATATTTCAAACAATAACGATTTGAACACGAACAAATGCATCAATGTTCGTGGTTGGTTCGTTTAACTAACCAAACAAAAAAAAATTTGTTCTTACTTATTTCGTTTACTTATTGAACGAATCGAACACGAACTCATTGAAGAACCAAACACGAACTGTTTGCGAACAACGAGCTTTTTTGATAGCCCTAACTACTCCTTTGTAGCAGCTAGTTATGGTCAATGTGGCCAGCTACTACTGTTATAATTTTCAAATTTGGCATATATGGCCAAGTGTCGCTATTTCAGCCATATGCTATAGTTATTTATGGCTAATAACTACATTTTTAGCCACCAACTACGACTTTTATGACCAAATTCCACTATTGTAGCAATCAAATATAGCTTTTATGACAAACTATTGCATTTGTAGCAACTAAGTATGACATTTATGGCAAACTGCTACTAAACTGTAGCTATTGCAACCGCTGACTACATTTTTTTTTTATGGTCAACTACTGGCTTTATAGAAAACAATTATGACATTTGTGACTAACTATTATTATGACAACCAAGGACCACATTTTTTGTATCACAATTATGATTATCATAGCTAAAGTATAACTGCAAATACATGATTATCAGTTTTATAATTATATATTTTCTAATTCAAGAGAAGAGTATATATATGTACTTACGATTATATAGTTGATTGTTTGAGTGGGCTAGGCTACGTCTTTTTTTTTATTATTATTTTCAGAGTTGTTTCATGTAAAAATATTGGTGTCTCCTCGTTTTATTTTCTATTTATCTGTGCATTAAATTATCAGCCTACCGATTCAAATCTTCTTACACGCAATACATGCATATATTTTGGTATAAATGATTCCATAATAATATATATGTGAAAACATGAAGTTTTAAGGTTGAGATAAATACATAAGAAAATTGGGTGGTATGAAACTATATTAAAAAAAATATTATATACGTGAAAACAAGAAGTTTTAAGGTTGAGATAAATACATAAGGAAACTGGGTGGTATGAAACTATATTCAAGAAAATTATTAAAAATTTATTAAAACCTTATTTATATTTATAAATGAATAAATTCAAGTTTAGAATATAATTTCATTTTTTTATTTTTATATTTTTGAAATTTTTGTAGGTATAATATTTGCGTAGAAATAAGAAATCTTATGAATAATTATATACATGTTATTTGAAATATTTTCTTAAAAAAAAAAATTGAGTCATAATTTTTTTGAAGTATCAAATCGATATTTTGACACGTACACTATTAAATTATTGAAAATTTAAATATATATATATATATATATATATATAGTTGAGGCTTCATCCTAAATTTTGATATTTGAATGAGAATTTGAATAATAAATAAAAAGGATGTTAGATTTGTAAATGTTAGTTATATTACGAGTGCTAAATATTAATGAAATAAAGTTGGTCAAAGAAGTCAAAGGAACTTATCCGTTCAGGAAACAAAGCAACAGGAACAAAAATTCGAGTTACCAACGTGGAACGTTTGGCTTTGTCCATAGTATAATAATATGAACTTTGTCCATAGTGTAATATATATTAAAATATACAAAAAATTATATATATGCCACATAATTTTTATATATCTATATGTCTTAACTGATAAATTTTGATATTTTATTTTAACGATTTTGATGTGATAAATAAAAATTTAAAAAAAGATCACATTTTTAAAAAAAATAATAATATTAATGATATTTTTGATATGATATTATGAATTTGAGTGTTATATATATATATATATATA